AAAAATTTTCCAATATCGCTTAACTTAAAAATAATTTTATCTTAAAAATTAGAAACTAAATTATTAACAAAGAATTTAAATTTCCATTCATTCTATTCAAATTTGAATAAATTGCTAATTTAATATTAGTAAAATTTATTTTCAAACAGCTTGCATTTCTACTTCCGAGTATTGATTCAATTTTGAATTATTGTTGAGAATTTAAATTTTCGAAGTGAAAAAAGCATTGCCATAGTTTTCTTCATTGAATTTTCATTTCTAAAAGAAGGATGCTATTTTTCACTCCTTTTTATATAAACAAGATTATTTAAGAAATTTTTTATAAAATTACAATTTCTAAGGTTTTTATAATAATAAAAGAATTTTTGCACGTTTTTCCAAAGATAACAAAATTTTCAAAAATTTTCGGTGTTTTAGTTTTCTTTTCTTTTTGGAAAAAATGTTATTTTGTAATCAAATCTTTTGTTATGCTTGCTGTTTTGCATTCGTCATTTTAAAATCATATACAAATAAAAATAAAGAAAACATAAAAGGATTTTTAAGAGAGAGAAAGAGGGAGAAAAAAATCCGTTATTATTATAATATTATATTTTAATTTTCTAAATGTATGATTTTATCTTATTACGAAAATCATATTAAAAAATCTACAAAAAATATTATGCAAAAAATAACAAAATTCTGTTGATATTTTTATTATAAAAGTATGACACAAGTAAAAAGTTGTTCTTAAAACTTCATTTATTAAGAAGATTTAAACGAACCTGATAACGAAAAGTGTTAAAAGAGAATATTTTAAAAATAGAACACAAAAAGATTTTAACACTTTTTTCAAAAAGAGATTTTTTATAACACTTATCTATTATACAAACTATGTATGTATATGAATTGAATCCTTTTACAAAAATTAACAATACTCTCATGTTGCATCAAAGCAAAGCAATTCAAAGCATTAGCGAATTAATTTTACAATTTTGCTTAAATATGCAGTGATGTGGAGAATTTCAAATTAATATTAAATCTATAAAATTATAAAGAAAACCATTTGAAAACTGCTAGGAAATTTACCTGTTTTTAGGAAGAAAACTGCAAAATTTAATATTTTGCTCATTTAATCACTGGTTAAGGCTGTAGCTTAAGTACTTAGTAAGTGGTTCATTCATTCTATAAAGTACATTAACAATATTTTGTAGAACGCAACATTGATTGTGTTTATATTCACAACTCTTACCACAACTCAAGTCTTATATACTTAGACAACAATAGGATAGATGGAACTGAAAAAGCAGTACTACTTTCAAAAACACAAAACTTTAGTAAAATTTCAAATGCAAACGGACTGTTTTACGCAGTACATTTACAAAAATGCGGAGCGACTACATCTCTTACTTTGGCTCTTACCTTTCTCGTTAATAGCTCATATACCTTCCCATAATATTGGCATTTCTTCCTTATTCTTTTATAATATTAAAATTTATTCCTTTACAAATTCTTTTCCATTATGATGAACATCAATAAATTCGAACTATGTAGCTTGTACAAATTTGGAACCTCTTTTAAGAATGATGAATCAATAATTACCTCAAAAATTAGTTAAAGAATAAATTAAATACATGTGTAGCTTTTACTTTAAATAAAAATTTTTTGTCTTATATGTATGTACACATGAATATGTATTGCACATTATCATTTGACCAAAAATTTCAATATTTAATCAATATTGCAAATGCACGAACAAATCGTAATCCACAAATAATTTCTTAAGTACAACACACACATGGCATCTTTATCTCAATTGAAAATATTATTAAAAAAGATTTTCATATATTTTTTTTTTTGACATTTAATAAAAAAATATATACGTAAAAAAATCATGGTTAAGAATATTTAAAAATAAAAGTTCAAGGAAACAATTTTTCACATTTGACATAACACAATAATAATATCTATCAACAATAAGATTTTTACCCAAAAAAAGAAGCAGATTTCAAGAAAGGGATACAGAAAATCCATGCACTATAATACATAAAAAAAAAATATCTGCAGGAGCTTAAATTGGCCAATAACATAATATATTCTTCCTTCCTACTCATTCATAAAATCCTTATTTTAATATTATTTCCTTATATTCTATACCACATACATATTTTTGTCGTATTCCAATTATACGTGTCTGAGCCGCATATACAATATTTTTACCGAAAAAAAAAAATCTTATATTTCGCATCCGATGCTCGTCGATGCTTGTTTTCCTTGCTCATTTGTTCTTTCATTTTTTTTTCCTTTCCTTCTGTTAACACGATTCAAAAATATAAATCCAAAAATATATTTTTTCAGTGAAAGAAAACAATCCTTTACTCTAGGCTTCATTCGTATTCTTATACGTACAAGCGTATGTGTGAAGAAAAATTCAATATTAAAAATATCATCTTTACATTTCACCAAAAAAAAAAAAAATCAAATCATAATAATTCGAACATATCATCATATATGTAGGTATGTCAAATGTACAAACCTATATACGTATTGCGTAAATATATAAATTTTACTGTTATTTATAAAGTTCGGCTGTTTTTTTATTTGGATGTAGAAAAAAAAATTAAACCGTTTTTTTTTTTTTTTACCAAACATGACGCAAAAGAGTAATTTTTTTCCCATATACAAAACAAATATTAAATAACAAAAAAAATAATATAACAAAAATACTGCCTTCAAATTATTCACAAGTACACTTTTAAAATTTTTGTTATTTTTTACATACATACAGACAAACATATGAATATTGTACAAAATATACACTCATATTATTGCATACATACACAAACATAATGCACGGCTGAAAAAACAAAAAACACAAAAAAAAGAGAGAGAGAGAGAAAGTGAGTGAAAAAAAATTTATAACAATTTTCACAAAAGGGCGAGAAAATCCAATCAATTTTCCTTTTTAAATGAAAAATATACAAAAAAAAAGAAAACAAAAACAAAATTATAAAAAATTTAAAAAAAAAAATTTTTAACATTCACAATTGAAGAGAGCAGAAAAAAAAATCACTTTTTTCTCTTACTTACACCCATAGTTGAAAACACTTTATTTTTCACACTTTTTTTTTTTATTCTTGACTTCTCACTTTAATAAAAATACGTGATGTTGGCAACACAAGGGCCTTTCTCTTCTTCTTTATTTTTTTTTCACCCTCTATAAAAGGAGTCTTTATTTTCTTTTTTCTATTAAATAAGAGGTTTGTTATTTTTTTTTTTTTTCTTATATTTTTAAATTAATTTGTGATCAACTTTCAATTTAATTTTAACAAGAGCCAAAAATAAATTAAAAATAAAAATAACGCTCATCAAATTAATTTTTGGAATGCTCACTAAAAAATTGAAACTGATTATTAAAGTTTCCTTATCATTAATATTAAAACAAACTTACAATATTCTATTTCAATTGAATATTGTGAAATTTTCAAATAGAGTTGTTGATAATTTGAGGTTATAAGCTATAGTCATTCTAGTTCTTTGTCTTTATTTCATCATAATCATTAAAATTGTCATTTAATTATTGTACTCCAAACTATTACCATATATCAGCCCACAGAGCTCAGAGAGTAAATCAAAAAAAAAATTCCAAACTTATTGTTTGGACAAATTTAAATTGAATGGGTTCCGGAAATTATTTGTGTGGAGAAAATTGATTAATAAATTTAGCTCTATTAACTCTACATTTATTTTTTTTTTAATTTAAAATTTAAATTTAAAATTAAATTTGGTATAATTCAACAGATTACGCTTGAAAAATGCATTAACAAAAAAAAATTGCACTTTTTAAGGCAGCCAACTTTTCTTGTCTTCCATATGGCAAGGGCAATGAATTATAGAGAAAAATTTTGAAAAGTCACATGGAATACTCAAAAATTTCACAAAAAAAAAAATTAGAAAATATTTCAATCGGAATACTTGGAAAACATAAAACATTAAAAATAGTTTTCGTAACGTTCTCAATTTGCAATATTTTGGAAAACAACTTCAGCTTGTAGGCCTGAGCCTGAAAAATAATTATGGCATTACTCCAAACATATTAATTATGTGGGTATATAGCCGCAAATAAGTAGTGTTGAGCACCAAGTTCCTTTATATTTTGTAAGAGTGTTGGAACCAAAAATTGTGACAATCAATCTATTGATTTCTTAAGAGTTGGCATTTAAAACACTTTTGCTTCGCAAATTTCTATCTCAAAAAAATTTCAAATTTTGTTTTTATTTATTGAAATTTTGATTGTAACAAAATTTATTAAAAATATTTTTAATCAAAATCATTTTCATCACAAAATCAATCAAATTCAAGATTTTCTAGAAAAAAAAATTATTTTCCTCGTAACAAAAACAAAAAATTGAAAATCACGAAGGATGTAACAATGTTTTCATTGTTTATTATTGTATGGAGCAGATGTCGAACGTAAAAAGCTTTTCTTTAATACAAATCAAAAAAATTTAATTTTGTAAAATTTTTTTTTGCACATGTGAAAATATTTTAAGATTACACCATCAAAATGTTTCTCTCTTTTTCTCTCATTTTCTTTAAAAGAAAAATGTTTAAATATTTTTTTTTCTGAAATATTTGAATTTTTATTTTAATTCTTGAAAAGTGGTCTTCTATACGATTACGTAATTTTTTTTGCAAGATTAAAACTTACTTGCTTAGGTTTTCAAAATAATTCTAAAAAAAATTTCTATAAAAACAGTTAACAAAATCTTTTTAAATAAAAAGTTACTGGAACGAGATTTCGCGCCCGTTATTCTTAACAATTTAAGCTACATTCATATTTACAAATTAATCTACTGAGCCTTTCATTGCTTAACCGACTATTCTACTTAAAAAGCTAGTATAAAAATCTTAAATTTTAATTTTTCTTAATTTTTATATGAAAAATTTCACTTTTTTACTTCAAATAAAATTTATTTGTTGAATTAAAACTAAAATTTTTTTATATTATTTTTTATTTTCAGGTAAGTGCATCATACCTAGAAGATGATGGTTACTGCAATAGTAAGTATAAACAATACTGCACTGAAATAATAAAAAATTCTCTTTTTGTTGATTACGTTTACACTCCAAAATTTAATCCTGAGCTCTTTGAATTCTTTAAGATAGAAAATTGTTGATCGTTTGAATAGCTTCCTTTTAAAATTACTTTAAGAGCGGGCTATAGTTACTTTATAGCCCGTTCTCGATACTCGTTTCTACTCAATTGAGAGATTTTTAATTTTTCGACTCATCTGCCATACTTCAATTCAAAGCTATTGTTTCCATTTTCTAAATTGCGGTAAATGAGTCCCTTGAATTGCAACAAATATACCCAAGTTACAATAAAACCTTTTCTTCAATTAAAAGTTTTTCTATTAAAATGTTTTTGTAGCCCGGTTTATTCAACAAGTTTTCTTTTATCTATGAGAAATGAAAGTATAAATGAAAGATTTGATGGTAAATGTTTTGAAGATTTTGAAGAACATTTAAGCGCTTACAAAATAATGAAAACCAAAACGTTTTGCTGAAATTAGACTAAATATATTAAAATTGCAGTAGTGCAGTTAACATCTCCCAAATGTCATAAATTTGCTGCAATTGCCACATAAATGATAACACTGCTTCAATTATGTTTTTCATACTGCTTTAATTTGAATGACATTAAGTTCCAATTCAATTGAATCAAAATTTTATGCATTGCTTGGAATATTACATTCTCTGAAAATATTAAAATGAATCTTTTAATCACAAAAAAATATTTTGTACTCACATTATCATAAGAATTAAAATAGTTGCATTTCCAGTCACATCAAATTTGAACACTTTTTTGTCTCAGTACCACAATAATTATTTTGAATTACTTTAACATGACTTCACACTGAATTTCACAAATCTTTAAAACAAAACCATTCCGATTACAATTTTCCATATTCTAAACGCATTCTAGAAATTAGTTTTTAATTATTTTATATTAAGTAGTTCCCGTATTAGAGTTTTAACAAATTTAATTTTTCTTTTTTTTTTTAATTTTCCTAAAAATGAGTTTACTTGTTTCCTTCTTTTCCATTTTGCTGGATATTATAATTAAAAATGTTTCATTGAATTTCAAAGGAAAAAGAAAATTTTTATCTTTAAGTACACAATAGCTATACTTGAAGTTCAACAACTGAAACAAAAAAAAAAAAATAAAATTAAAAAATCGAAAAGTTATCATGCAAAAGGAATAAAGAAAAAAGTTGATTACATTAATTTTAAAAAAAAATTTACAATGTTCACTTTAAGATATTTGAATTCGACTACTGGCAAATAACCCATTACAAATTTATTAGTTTTGAATATGAAATCATTTAGAGATATCCAAAAATTTATGGCAATAATCGATTGTCAACCCAAATATTTTTAAAATTAAAAAAATTTTCCACATGTGCAGGATGCTGCCCAGTAAGATGCCACTTAAATAAGCTGGGGAATTATACTCCCCTTTAAACAGATTCTGTGGATACGGTGACGAGACCGTCGTGTACATTTTTTGAGACTGCCGGCATTGGCTGTTCGGCAACGTAATTGTGTTAGGCAAGATTTCCTCAGTCTACGTGAACTGTTGTCCAATTTCCTTGAGGATATCTCCAGTTTTATACTTGTGACTGGTATATTATAAGTCGCGTATGTCGGCGGTGGCGCGGGAGAAGTGTTCTCTTCCCCTATTCGATTCCCTTAGAATCTATCAACCTACCAACTCGTGCATTAAGGTTTAGAAAGACTGCATTATGGGTTTTCGAAATTCTAAGATGGCCATAAGGAATGAATTTTCAAATTCAGAATAATCTTCCATGATTTGTTTTACAGGTAAAACCAAATAAATAAAAAAAACAAAAATTTTTTTTAATAAAATTCCATTAAAATATACTTTTCATGTACACTTCAAACAAGATAGCTCTTCAGTTCTTTCCTACCTAACCAATATACAATTTATTACATTACTTCATCAAAAAACCATTTTATTTATTTTTGTTTTTTTACAAATTATATTTAAAACAAAAAAAAAAAACAGAAAATTTGTACAATTCAAAAAAAAAATAAAAGTAAAAACATCAAAGTACATTTTTTTTCTTGCTGTGGCTATTTTGATTTTTTTTTTTCTTTCTTGTTTACAACTACAACTTCGAGCGCTCTGTTCTCAATTTTTTCTGCTCGTAAAATTCGAAATTTTATTTTATTATATTTTAAATTCGAATTTCATTCACATTGATGAGTCTATAAAGTTTAAATAATTGCATACATAGATACATACACCCATCTATCTATATACAGTATGCTTATAGGAGAATTATGCAGTAAAATAATACTTTATATCTATCTATAAAATATCAAGGCATCTACTTATATAGATTTTAAAAATAAAATATGAATTTTGCAACCATATATCAAGTGGTTTACAATTTCCAATTAAAACCATTGAATTGAAATTTTAAGTACAGAACACGAAAAATATAATATTATTGAAGTGTGGAAAAAAAAAAAGTATATGTAGCTATACATTTTTCCAAAAATTAATTAGTTGCTATGGTTGTAACTTTAAATTAACAAATACACTCATACCGTATTTATTGTATACATACGTATGCATACTCCGCATGCATAGTCAGTGTAGGATTATGTTAAACCAATCATGATGCAAATGTATGAATCAATATACGTATATGTAAGTGTAATGCAATGTTACTTGGTAACGAGTTTTTTATATTTTTATTATTTTTCGAAAATCCTTTTCAATAATTTTTAACAACTATTGTAATTATTTAATAATTATTTTTTTTAAATTTTCTCTTTGTGAATATTAAAAAATTGCTTTTCAATAAAAAACAAAATTTAACAAAATGAAGTTTTGAAAAGCAGGAGTGAATTTCTTTGCCTCGTTTTATATTTTTAAGCTTAAAATTGTCATTTTATAGCTCAATTTATAAACTTAAATCTTGATTTTACGACCAGATTTCTATGATACTAGTTTACTTGCTAATTATTGTACTTTATTGTAATTTTTAACACTTGAGCATTAAAGCTTTGACTAAAGTATAAAAGCGAAATCATGAAAATTACAACAACTTATTGTTACATTTCAAATCGATCATTTCACATGTGAAATTTCAATATGTTAAAAATTTAAAAAATCTGAAGTGATCAACAAAAAACTGATCACAATGTGTGTTATGTAGTTTAGCCACCATGTTACAATAGGTTATGAAAATACACTTTTGAAACGTTTCTTTTCAATTTTAAGGTAGTTAGTAAACTTTTAGTTAATAAAACCTAAAAAAATTTAAGTAAGGCTCTTAGTTTATTTCACTTTCTGCCATCCGAATTCCCAGAATATTTCTCCACTTGGTTTCGATGACAGCCAGAACTCAAATGTTAAATTTTAAGAAATTCCATTAATTAATATTCCGTAATATTCCGTAATTAATATTCCGTAAATATGGTAAAAATGTATAAAATCAATTTCTATTTCGGTTTCTCAGTCCTGATCTTTTCAAAATAGGTTCATTGCACACCGAATTTAAATTTTAAATTTTAAGATCCAGTTCCCGAAATCTAATATGTCCTAAAAGTTGATCAATACCGAAATAAATTCATATATAAAATTTCATCAAAATCTGTTTAACCGAACATGTGTATCTCAAATACACATGTGCATACACCAATCAACATATATCTCGCTGTTGGACAGAACGACAGATCGACAAACCGACACATCTCTCTAAAAAAAAGTTTATTTACATTTCGCTACAATAGAGAAGTGTGTTCCCACCTAAACTCGACATTCGAAATTTTATGCCATCACATAACCTTGCACTCGGTAACAAACTAATCATGCCAATAGATTTAAAAACTTGTATGTATCAACCTGTATGTACAATTAATTTCATTCTCTTAACAAAAACTTCTCATATTGAAATATTATATAAAATTGTCATTATTTTAGATTTTTTATTCATTACTTCAAAAAATTAATTAAATATTAAAGTAACAGAAAAAATTTATATGAAATATGTATGTACATATGTATTTGTAAAAATATTTCAACATTTTTATAGGCTATAGCCTATGACGTTTTTATTCAATTGTTGTTGCGTATTGGAAGAAAAACTAAAATATGAGCAAAAAATATAAAAAATTCATGTTAACGTCACAGAATGTCAATAATAACTCACCATGAAATATACAGTATGAAAAAACAATTGACACAACATGACATTGTTTTTGAATTTTTTTGTTTTTGTTCTACTCAAAAGAAATAAGTATTAAAATTCAGATGTTGTTAAAAGAACATAATCTTTGAAAAAAAACCACTACTGTATTTAAACTACACCTACTTCTAAAGTATATTGCATATTTTTTGGGGCTTGTTAATCTTATTAATATACCCTGACATCCAGAATGCAATATTAATGTAATGCTACATTGTATCTCTTGTCCATATTGTAGAATAAAAATAAATAGGCAAACAGCCTAGTGAAAAAATCGAGACTATAGTTTTTTACTACATGTCAAAACAGTGTTGCTATTTAATTCCTCTAACTTCCAAAAAGCTTTTAGATAGGAAGCCCTTCCCTCTTCTAAAGTAATTGTTTAAAAAATGAGTTCAAAATTTCTTCATATTTAATTTTCAGAATTTATTTAAGAATACCAAAAAAGTTCAGATTTACACCAATTTATTCTATGAGACATGAACTCGTCAGACATTCATAAATAATCTCAAATAATAAAATATTAAAAAAACCAAAAATTTTTTTTTTAAATAATCTAAATAATTTTAAAAATTTTTATTGTTATTTAGATTGCCTTTTGTTTTTTATTCATTTTTATTTTCGGAAATATTATTTTGGCTCCCGTTTGTATAATTTAATTCAATGAATTGAATAATTTCGAGTTCATGTTACTTAAAGGCCTTAGCCTTGTATGTACCATAACACATACATACATACATATACAAATGAATAGTATATATAGGAGCATATAAAATGAATTATACACATGCAGTACGCTTGAATGAATATTCTGTTAGTTGTTTGCTACTATAGTAGCCGTCATTCATCAATCATCTGTCATTACATCCCGCTAATTGATATTTTTTATGAGTTTTTTTTTTATTTCTTTTTTTTATTCTTTATGAATTTTTTCTCGAATATTTTTTTATTGTATTTTCGCACTTTTTTTTTTTTGTTTTGTAAATTTACCTACGTGTATGA